CTCCTCAATTCAGCCCTTTCTACCCACCTCATTCATTACAACTTCAGAGATGACGCGTGCCTCTAATTCTAAGTGTCCGAGCATTCAGTACCTTAGGATTCAGCTTTCTTGGGCTCGTTAAATCATTTACCATTTGTTCATCCACTTTACAGCTTTCTCTTCTGTGTTTTTGCCTCCTCTTCCCATTTTCTTTATCCTTGATAGTAAAGAAAATCCTTTTACTATCATTTTAGTGGGGTTTTGTGTTCTGAAGCAAGTAAGAACCTGCCATCAGCATCCGAAACCACTATGTTTCACAAGAATATGTCCGTCCCTTCAGTTATTCATGTAAAGATAAAGGTTCAAGCTGGGATCTTTGCTGGACTCACAAAGTCTGAGGTCTTGGGCCTTCCAAGATGCTACACCCACAAGGGTACAACGACTAACTTTGTCTGGTATTTAGGACAATGATACAGGAGATCATAAGCATTTCTCCTCATTTCCTTCCCCGCCTTTAGCCTCAGGGCTATGACTCTTTATGACTCTTGTCTTGAAATAACATTTCACTCTGTTGCTGCTCCTCTTCAAATGGTTGTCTCCGATTACTTAGCTATTTTATTTTCTGGACTGTTTTTTTTTTTTTCACTAATTAAATGTCCAAACAAGGATATGTCCAGACAATTCCATAAATTATTACCATCCTGCAGAAAGATTCCAATCATCAAGTGATTTTGTTAGGTGCAGTCTCTATCTCTCTCTCTCTCTCCCCCCCTCTAAAAGAAGGGGGGAGGTGTTAATTCCCACTGAGTAAAAATAAAATAATTCAGCTCATCCTCACACTGAAACAGCTGCACAGACAGCACTGGCTGCTCTGTTTATCTTCATAATTGTGGAAAAACACCATCTCCTCCCCTTCCCGCTTTCTCCAGAATAATCACCATGCTCCACGTGCAGATGGGGTGATTTAGACCCTGGAGCAGAAACAGGATTGTTTGGTGTTCTTCCTGCACACCCGCCCCACACCCTTCCTTTGCTGCTATTGGCATAACCCAGTTGCTTCAGATAACAACTGCCGCAGGGGACCTGATAGATTCAGCGGTGAGTCCCCTGGAGGCTTCCTGACGCCCCAGCCCAGCCAGCTGCATCTAGGCAGCGCCATGAGAAGCGACTGCCAAAGCAGGAGAAAGTACATACTGTACATGCTCTTTAATCCTCGGAGTTATTGCAGCAGCAGCAAAAGGAGGGGGAGGAAGAACAAAGAAATAGCTCAGAGGCGTGGGGAGCAGGGCAGCCACGGGTTCTACATCAGATGAGTGGACAGCAAGAGGCAGTGAGTGGGACGAAAGCTTTCAACAAGGGCCCATTCCATTTGATCGCTTATTTCAAGGAGGCTGAGGGAATTCTCAGGTTTTTGTCTTCTTGGGTCACTCAATGAGTCAGATAGGATTTAAAGACGATAGGAAATGATTTCAACTCAGTGTGACCTTTTTGTTAAGCTAAAAAAAGTTGAGTTAAACACACAGGATGGCTAACCATCCAGGTTTGCCTGGGACCATCCTGGTTTTAGCACTGACAGTTTCACGTTCCAGGAAACCACTCGCTCTCCGGCAGACCAGGACAGCTGCTCACCCGACACCAGCCACAGCCGCTTCCCGTCCTGGGGCCCGTGCGAAGCCGGGCTGCGTTCGCATTCCGCTCAGTGCCTTCCTTACCTTCCAGGCCCGCTCCTGCCACACAAACGCTCTTCGGCCTGTATCACAGACGATCTAACAGACAAGGGCATTAAAAGGCCACTCTGTGTTTGACTCTCAGCAGAAAAGGGAACTGTGTCAGTCTGAGTTCTCCCAGCTTCTCTTATGGAGACCCTGTCAGAAGCACAAGCCATAGCCCACAGAGCTGAATAAAATGATCGTGGCAGAAACGGAAGACACAGCTTGTCGTAGTGCCTGGAGAAATGATGCATCCCTCAGTAACTTTAAAATGCTGAACTCTGAAAAGAAGGAAGCCAAGGAAAACTCAATTACGCAGGGGCTGAAAATTCAGCGCGTGGGTTAGTCAGGCTCTCTGCTCTGCTATCCTCTCCCCCTGGCCCTAGCCATTAGGCCATTTCACCACTCATTAGCAGGGAGGAGGAGGAAGGAAAGGAGGGAGGAAAATCAAATAGCCAATTTTTCAATTTATGAGCAAGTTCCTAGGGAGGGTATTCAAAATATTGACTCAAGAGGTTCTTCGGTGGGGAGAGAGGATTGAAAATTGGGGGTTGTGGCATAATCTGTTGATTTTAATCATTTGGTCTTTCGTAATTCTCAACGGAATGAACTGTTTTCATTGGAAGGCTAGCAAAATTATAAATGTTAGATAAAAAGAAAAAAAAATTTACTAGTTAAATCACACAAGATCCTATCTTTCAAAAAAAAAAAACATCCTTTGACAGGCAGGGCACAGGGCTCACACCTGTAATCCCAGTGCTTTGGGAGGCTGAGGAGGGAGGATTGCTTGAGGCCAGGAGTTATCATAGTGAGACTCCATCTCTACAAAAAAAAAAATTTTTGTAATAAATTAGCCAGGTTTCGCAGCATGCGTCCATAGTCCTAACTACATGGGAGGATCCCTTGCACCCAAGAGTTCAAGGCTGCAGTGGGCTAAGATCACTCCATTGTGCTCTAGCCTGGGTGACAGCGCAGGACCCTGTCTCTAAAACAAATAAATAAATAAAATTTTAAAAAGTCCTCTGACAGGCCGGGCGCGGTGGCTCACGCCTGTAATCCTAGCTCTCTGGGAGGCCGAGGCGGGCAGATTGTTTGAGCTCAGGAGTTCGAAACCAGCCTGAGTAAGAGCGAGACCCCGTCTCTACTAAAATTAGAAAGAAATTAATTGGACACCAAAAAATATATAGAAAAAATTAGCTGGGCATGGTGGCACATGCCTGTAGTCCCAGCTGCTCGGGAGGCTGAGCCAGAAGGATTGTTTGAGCCCAGGAGTTTGAGGTTGCTGTGAGCTAGGCTGACGCCACGGCACTCTAGCCCGGGCAACACAGTGAGACTCTGTCTCAACAAAAAAAAAAAAAAAAAAAAAAAATCCTCTGACAAACACCATAGACAACTGGTAATGCTACCAATTTACAAGAGACATAAAATTGGAGGATTATATATTATGCTTTAAAATTTAAGCTGTAAAAATGGAGCGATCTATTGCTAGCTACTTCTATCATAGGCCCTGTGTTTGAATCATGGGTCATCCCTAGAGGTATTTCAGGTATCTTTGCCTTACTCATTCGGTTTGCCTTACTCATGCTCCTAGGCATGCCTTTCTCTTCTTGCTCCCTTAGTGAACCTTAACTTCCGGAAAGCCCAGCTCAAATGGCACATACTTTATGCAATCTCCCACAAGTACTGATTCATCCTAAGAAGCATTGATTTCTCCCTTATCAGTGCTGAGATAACTTCTGTTGTAGCATGTCTCACACTGTTCAAGAGTTAAGTGTCCTCTTCTCAGCCTCCCCTGCTGGACTGTGATCTTTCTGAAAGCAGACACCATTCCTTGTTCATCTTCCTTTTCAAGGTACCCAGTACAGTGTCCACTGGAATACACTCAAATATTTACCAAAGGACTGAATCAATGTGGATAAACAAATGGTAATCATTGTAAGAACTGCATTTAAGAATATAAAAATTTTAAAAGATTGTTAAGATTAGTCACAGCAAATAATATTTATGTGAAATTATTTCTTAGAAAAGTATAAATTACTCCCCAAAAACAAAGGACAAATAATTTTCCCAGTGGTATACAGAGTAGGAAACTTGATGCTTAGGGCTTGGTGCACATAAATTTTAATTAGACATTGTTTCTTTTTTTCAAAAATCCTTTCTGTAAGGTAGCCATATACTGGTGGGATAATATAACCATGTACAGTGGCAGGAATGAGGCAGCAGGATTTGATGAATACAGCAGAAGAAAGGAATACCACCAGCAAGGTTTCTAAGTGACAACTACCAGCAGGTTGGAGAATTGCTTATAAATACAATAGAATTAAATAACCATGGAATGATGGCAGAGTTGCTCAAATATTATCACTGAGGAGAAATAAAAATTCCTCTCTAGAAGGATGATATTATTGAAATCTGCCTTTCACTCATGGAGTCTCAGTAATAGGAGAGTAGCCCAGAAATGACAGAACCGAATGATCTAAGAGAAAAATGAAAGGGGGAAAACAAACTGCCCTGATGAGAAGGTGTATATTGCCTGCTTCCATGGGATTCATCAGTCTCTGCTTCTTTAAAAGTTACTCTGACTCTGAAGCATACGCATGTAATACATTCCAATTCTACTCACGGGATTATGCTTATCACAAACACTCTGGGAAAAATATAAAGGGAAGAGATAAAAGTATTTATGTAATCAGAGAAGTACAAAGAGAAGAATGTAAAATGGCTTGAGAGGTATATTACTAGGATTAATGGGAAGAAATTAAGAAAATAGTGAAATGAGGTTACATGTCAGACATTCTCTCGGCATGATTTTCACTGCAGTGTGAAAGCGTCTTCTGGAATAATAATGCTAATTTTAAATGCTCTCTTAATAAAACGTTCAGGTTGCTATAGCCTATTAGGCAGCAATTAAAACCTTGTGAGCTCTGCCACCCTCTCTCAGGTCTGCCGCGACGCGGCTGTCACAGGGAGCGAGGCCTCGAGGACCCTGGGCACTCGGGGTTACTGGCCAGGTAAAACGTGGAAGGCCCATCATTCAAGTCATTTAGAATTGGACACAACATTAGAGAAAATGCAATGGAGCTGAGTGGGATGAACTAGAGAACCTAATGTAGCATTTAAAAAAAAATTCACATTCATTGGTGCCAAAGGACATTTGGAGGACACTGTGTTTAAATTTGGGGCTCATTTTGCAGGAAGGAGTGTCAACTGTCCTTGATCTTGCAGCTGACTCTACACCCAGGAACTCCTTCCTACAGATATGAAGAAAAGCACTGCCAAGCTGACAGAGGACAGTTTAACTCCCCAGCTCACAAAATTATTTCCTTTGCTTCCTCCTTTGGTTCAGTGATGATGATGCCATCATGCATCTGTGGTTTGCTATTTCTATACGGACACAAAAACAGAAAATACATTAAAGTGATGTGTAGTTTTCCATGCAAATGCTTTCAGACTAATGAGAGTTGTACTGTATGATTAAGTAGAAATTGGTTATTTGGTTTAAATATTTATGATAAATTGTTTAGAATTAACACTTAAGCAATTCAATCCAGGAGATGAAAAACTGCAATATTCCTCACCTGACCTTGGCAGCTAACGTGGTATGGTACATGTTGCGTTAGCTACGGCGGGGCTGCATGTAACAAATCACACCCGCAAACGGTAGGCAAAATGGTTTTGTGCCTAGTTCTACTACCAAACCCAGCTAACCCAGAGCAAATCCTTTAACCTTACTCCTTGTTAGCTTGTCTAACAGGATAAAATGGAAAATACCGACGTATCACAGACTAGAGAAAACCCAAACCAAATAGTTTGATGAATAAGACAAGGCCCTGTGGATCTTGAGAAGAGTTGAATTTTTTCTGTTCTAAGACCTCTCCCAGAGACTCCTCAAACTCATTCAGCAAGGTACCACTTTTGTGTAAATGATTCAAGCCCTAGGACACTGGAATCCTATGACAACAGAAACTCCACAGTAGTTGGTGGAGACTGTGAGTAATCCAGTCTCCAAAGGTGTTTTTAGGACTATGGTAAACTGCAACACTTTTAATATCAAGGCTAATGTTGAACAGTTCATAATAATAAATTATAATAATTATGACAAATTAAAAAAAGTAGTTAACATTTATTGAATACTTAGTCTATGTCAGGTACTTTACCTGTTTTAGCTCATTAAATCCTCATAACTTATGAGGTAGTCACTATCGCCATGCCCATTTTACAGATAATTAAACTGAGGCATAATCACAGTGTTAGTTAACTAACTTGTTCAAGCTCATAAGCTTGGAAGTGAAGAGCTATGCTTTGAGTCTGGCTGAATAGCAAGTCTGTGTTTCAGAACATTGTAACTGAAGTAAAAATCTGACATACTGATGATCATGCCATCCACACTAGCAAGAGAAACGGGCTACTTACAACTGAAGATACAATCCCTCAAGGCCAAGTCAATTCACAAGTAACATTTCTGTGTGGTCAATAATGAAAAATCTGAAGACAAATTATAGAAAAATAATTTCTATATTTAAAAACTGATAGGAAAGACTGCTCACAAATTAGACAATTGCTGGTTTTCAGAAACAAAGTTCAGAAGAAACAACAGAAAACAAAGATTTTCCTTTCCATGTTAACTGGATACTTCTCACTCAAAAGGAAGAGAATACATTGAACTCTGGCTCTCGTCTTTTGCTTCCTTAAGGTATCTGGTTCTCCAGTGCTTCAGCGTAAGAAAATGCCAGAATTAAACAAAGAGTATAACCTGCTTCGTAAGTGGATGGGTTTGATTTATCAAAATATGAAGATCTTAAAAGCTAAATATTTTTTAAAACCCACTGAATCTGATTTTCGCTTATCTAGAAAAGAGGGTCACAATTTTAATTTGCAAAATAAGCACCCCCCACTTCCTTCCCTCCATCATGGCCTAAGCGTCCCCTCACAGTGACACACAGGCATTGCTCCGCAGTTTCCTCTAGCTTCCTTTCAAGGCAAATCTTTTCCCATCTACAGATTAATTCTGACAGCTATCTGGAGTCGCCAAGGAACCAGTCCATTTCCCCAGCGCTGTGGGGGCCAGTCAGCTGACACAAGACGCAGGTTCTGAAAAGGAAAGCTGTCCCCAAAGCACTCATACAAAGCATGTGTATACTGTGTACTTCATTACAGGACAGAACCAAGGTGTATATGTAAAACAGAGGCCTGGCCTTTCCTTAACAAAAAAGAATATTGATTTATGAATTAAGACTAAAAGACATACTTAAAAACCAAATGTTTTGGAAGTTGCTAAACATTGAAATGTTTCTAAATAGTTTCAAGCATACAACTGTGATTATCCATGAAGGAAAGTGGAAAAGAATGATAAATGTAACAGTGATCTATCTTATGAGGCCTTTTTGGAAGAATAAAAAAGGAGCCTTTCAGCTTTATGATCATTCACTAAGAATGGAAAGAATGACGATCTTTCCTTCACGTGACATATGCTCAGTTTCTTCTAGCATCCCTGTATCGTAGCTATCACAGTTTTGCTGTGTTTGGTCTTTGGTTAGGTAAGGAAAACACACAAAGCATGCTCTCCATGTCCTGCCTGTGGAGGTCCGAAGACAGCTCCATTTCCGGTGATAAGGATTCAAGATGAACACGGGTTCAAAGGGCTGAGCTATTTTTCTTAAACTGCACAAAGCAGATGCTTACCCTATGAAAACCCTCACCCACATAAGTTTAAAAATGAGGACACTTTAGAATAAGAGTTAATACAGATAAACGATTTCTGTCTTAATGAACCACCATAGCCAGAAACCTGCTGACCTTGCTTGCCCTCTCCCAAACTTGCTGCTCTCAGCTCTGGCCCCAAGGGTGGCCAATAATTTACATTAAAATAAAATAATGAAAAGATTACTAATATTTAGTTAATCCGTCCATTTTTCTCATAAGCAACGTATGAAAGAATTAAGATTATGAATATACATACTACATGACACAGTGAAGTGGTCGTCTCTTGATACTCGACAGTGACAGCTTGTCCTGAGAAGGACCTGCATGATTTCTGACGGTGTGGCAGCGGCTTGCCTCCGAAACGAACTGCTCTTCTTACTTTAGGGGGGAGAACAGCTCCTCAAGGACGGGTTAGGTCCTTTTTGACTCTGTAACGCTACTCAGCATTTAGATCTGGTGTCACGTTTGCAGTGATGGCTCAAAATTACTCGGCGCAGAAAATGATTAGCTATAGCAGGAGAGGCAGGGACCCAGGGGGCTACAATTCTTGGAAGCTTCGAGCTCCCCCACACCACAAATGGCGCTTTCTTTATCAGTCAGCATTTGGGTAACTAGACGTATCTATTAACGTGCAAGACTGATTTAAAAATGTGCTAACTCTAAGATATTTATAAGAGTGATTATGTACATCATCTTGAAAGAGTGTTGCATCAGAAATGGGATAAAAAAAAGACGCCCTCCTGAAAAGCTCAAAGTTTTTCCTTTATTCTGTGTACCCTTAGTAAACTCGATTCACTGTAATAAACTTTTCAGACGGTATATATGTGTGGCGGTGGTGATGGTGATGTGATAATAGAAAGGAAGAAGAGGTGTGGTATAGCAATACTGCTGTCAGCAATAAAAACTACAGATTCCTTCTGTCCTCAGCTTTTAGACACTAACAGTAAAACAGATGAGAACCCACTGCTCCTCTCACTCCACACAAATATTTTACACCTTTCTTCATTATCGCTTTCTTAGGAGCCTCTTAAGACATTTTTTTAATCACCCCCCACCTTGAAATTTTAATGCCATGGATATATTGTATTGTATATCAGTTTATGTATTGTATGTATATCTGCACTTTGGACATAAAAAAGAGTGAAGTATTTTGTACCCCCCAAGAACCAACTTTCATCCCCTTAGAGGAAAATACTGCCTCCTTTGATGTGTGCTCTACACTAGAGCTCTTTAACCTTTTTTTGATTCGTGGATCCCCTTGAGAATCTGATGAAAGTTATAGACCCTTTCCTCGGCCCCATCCAAAACATGCACACAACTTTATACACACCCAGAGCACTCACTGGGTCCTCACGAACCCATCCATGGACCCCAGGCTGAGGATCCCTGCTCTGCATGCTCTCCTGGGGTGACTGCACACATTCTCACCCCTCTACCTACCGTCGGAGCACTCCTGAATCACAATTCACAGCTCCAGCGCTGGCTGCTGTTTTAGACTCAGATGCTTGGGCTGTAGGCATACCCATTTAAACGTCCCACAGATACTTCAACCTCGGTTGTCCGATTCTGAACTCATTCTCTTCCACTCAGACCTGCCTCTGGATTCCAACTTAGTTCATGCCACCATGTCTTCCCAGTTTCCCAGGCAGAAATCTGGATTATCTTTGATTCCTTTCTCCTCACTTCACAGCCAATCAACAAGTACTTCCCACTGTCCCAACTTAGTATTTCTTAAATCTGTCCCTCCTTTTCAGCACTCCGCCCTAGTTCAGGGCTGTATCATCTCCTGCTTGAGACACTCAAATGCTGTCTCTACCACTACTCTTGTCCTCCATCTAATTCATACTTCTGCCCAAGGAAGCTTCTGAGAATACAAAATTTGCCTCTCTGTTTCTGCTTAAAATCCTTCAATGACCAACCTCCGGAAAAAACACAAATATACAATCAGTTTTCAAGATACAGTCCAAGATTCCTAACAGAATGTCCAAATCGCCTGCCCCTCAAGTCTCATTTTCATGCCATCGCACCCTCACCTGATGCTCCACTAGTATCGAACTGCACACGCGCCACTCCCTATGTCGTGCAGCTTCACATTCCTGCTACTTCTTCTGCCTAAACAACTTCAGCACCTTTTCTCGCCTTCTGTACCTTATAAAGTAATTGCGCTAAAGATGTTTGTAATATTCATAGAAGAAGAGAGGAGGGTAAGAACGGGGAAAGAAGGAGGAATAACAAGAAATATCTTGGGCAAAATTCGAGCTTTAGCGTGGTGCCCTTCTGGTGCTGGGTTTACCCTGTTCTCCTGGCCATAGCTCTTTGGGTCCCTGACCAAGCTGGGCCAATCAGATTGTATTTCTAGGAATCTGGAATTAGGAATTAGGGAATTAGTCAGCTGGTGTTGCTTCAATTAGGAAGTAATGTAAATTTGAAATGAAAGCAACTCTGGCTGATATTCTCACTGAAGATGAGAACGTCTGTCTGCAGAAAAAAGCAATGGTGAGATACAAGCAACTCTACAGCCCTGGAAGGAACAGCAACAACAGCATCAGCTGATAGCCACTTTCCAGTTCCTGTTCTGGTCTCTAATGAGGTCTGACCGCAGTTCCTTCCTCGGTTCCATCAACTATCCCTGTATCGTGATTGTAAGTTCCAATCTGTTTCAACTAGTCTGAGCAGATTTCTGTTCCCTGCAATATGAGGGACTGGATTATGTCAGCATTAGTAGAGAAGTGACATCCAGTATGGAATTCAGATCGCCTTCTTTTGTTTCATAGCTGGTATTACTCACTCAACCTGCCTCTTCGAATATAATATATTACTGTCTGTGTAAATGGGAGGGCAATCATATTAAAAGTCATAAACGTACCTCATTTAAATAAACTATCCAAGCTTCAGTGCTCTAAAAAACATAAAACAGAATTGAAAACAAATGAATCTTTGCTTTGGGCTTTAAGGCTTATAAATTAAATCAGCTATTAATCAGACTTAGAAACACACTGGCTTCTTTCCCATGGTCGTTACTATAGAATTATTTTAAAGAATCAATAGAACTCACTAACCTATATGACTTTCTGGTACTTTCACTCTCTAGTTTACTCCAGAACTTATTGCTAATTACTATAGGTCTAAGAGAATCCACACACAAGTGACAAAAGACATAAATCATTTACAGAGCTATTCATCTGCAATGGCCATCCCATCAGATTCAACCTTGTAAGTGTCACAAGACCAGTTATTTTTAAATCAGATTGTATTTTATAGGAAATAATAAAGATGCTACAGCAGCACAATAAATTCACACTAACAGCAGATCTGCATTTCATTGCAACAAATGTCTCTACTCTATTAAGCAAGTACTGAAATTTGCCCTTTACATGCCATGGAGTCAAGGGTTTCCCTGGAGATGCCTGCAAATTTGCAGGTATCTGAGGCTGAGGGCCTGCTGTGGGACATTTAAAAAAACTCTTCCTGTGTGGTTTCCACATGGGAAATGAGACTCTCCTGGATCTGAAAGGACTTGCTCCCACCTGAAAGGACCTTGCTCCTGGCATTTGTTTTTCTCATCTGAAACATTTTTTCTTCTCTGCTGTGATCCATTTTGTCTCTGCAACAGAACCATGTTTATCATCCAGGACTTATCACATTGCTCTTGCTGACTGACTGAGTGGTCAGCAAAAACACAAGTTGATGAGTCTGGGGTGTGAGCACTTGGCAGCCCCCACTGCTTTAATGGATCTCAGCAGCATTAGTTTACTGAAAGACGATGCAGTCCGCCTGGGACAATTTACCACTCTGTGTATTGTGCACAGATGAGACCTTTGATTTTGCTAGAGTTTAACTTTGGCCCTCTCTCCAAAAGACAGAGAAATTTAAACTCTGAAAGTGTTCCAACAATCAGGCAGCAATGAATAAAATCAGCCCTGTGTGATTGTGATGGATGCTAAGAACACTTAGGATTACCAGATCACCGACTAGGAGGACTAGGGGAGACTGCGGGCCCTCCTTCCCAGGGTCTGGTCCAGCATACGACAGACAGGCCCATTCTGCCCTGGGGTGTCTGTGAGACACAGTCCTGTGCAGAGGCACAGGGTGAATGAGATGGATGACTCTTCAAGGTCACTGCCATCGCCATGATTCATTAATGTCGGACAGGCTGCTGCTCTGAGCTGTGTGTTTTCCTAAAGCAATAGACTCTACTGCCCACCTTCTGTAAATAATAAATCTCTCAGCTTCCCAATCTTTCTGTAATCTGCACACCAGCACACTGAAAATAGTGGAAACAAGGTTAGCTCACAAACAAACCATGCGCCCACAGTGACTCCAGTAAATACGGTGTGGCTGTTGTTCTTCTTTAGTATCTCCAAACTGTTTACATCAGTATCTCACCTGTGATCACAATTGGGAAAAATAATAAAATTATACGTATCATTTATGGTCTCAGTGTCTATTTCTAATATTTATAAAACTGAGGGAAGATTTATATATACTAGCTTTAAACAACCCAAATAAAACAAAAGAAGATAATTTTATCCATAGACTAACAACAACAACAAATCACAACACCTCAACATATTAATAAAAGAAGTAGGTTCAATTAGATGTGCTTTCACCCCAGACCTCCAAGAATTTCATGGGAATCATATAACGCACAAAATTCACTATCTCCTGGGCCATCAGTCACATGTGCCAACAATGAAACAAGTGTCTATGGACCTTGAGTGACAGAAATTTTAGCCATACCTTCGGCTCACTCATAACCCCAAATCTAAAGTGATTACAATTTAAGTATCACCAAAATTCCTGGGAGATTATACCTATGTAAAACTGCCAGTTTATTCTCTTACCACACGGAGTCACACTCATTGTTAGAAGACGCTAAGCCCAATCGCAGCATGATGAGGTACGCTAATTTGTCACTTCCTCGGGCAATTTCTGCAGCTGTGAGTTGGGGTTTTAGTGGGTTGTGTGGACTGACATAACCCATTTTCTAAAAATCTAACACAGTGCTACAGCAGCTAGAAGAAAATCCTGCTCCGTCAGTCCACAGATCCTTTAAGAAAATAAATACACTTTAAAGTGTGAAGGAGAACAGGATAAAACCCTTTTCATCCCTATTTTCAAGAACAACCAATTCATCACTTTCTGTGTTTGTTTTCCCCTTTTAGAGACCATGTTCTTGGCGTTCTCAGCACGGAGGCCACGGTCCACCCATCTGGTGCTAGACGGTCATAGACGGGCTGTTCAGACTCCCTGGCTTTTCCCTCTGTACCTTCCACTCAGACCACGTGATCTTCATTCCAGTCTTCCTTCCAACAATTTTCCCAAACCTTATATGACTTCTACCACTTTCCACCTCTGACACATCCAAAAGCCTTCTCCTCCAGCCATAAGGGTCTTATACTTGCTATGAAACAAGTACAGAAAAGGTCTTTCAGATTCTAGGAAAACTCTCAGCGGCACTTCCTCATCCCTCTGTTTCGTTCTCCACGCTTCTCTCTCCCACCCCAGGTCTCTCTGTGTGCTGTGCAGTGTGCATTTCTTTTTCTACGGGAGAGGGGTACAGTGAAGTCCTCCTATTTGTTTCTCTGCAGCTTGAGGGCTACTATCTGTGTGGTGACCAGCACCAAAAACTTAGGGACAACTGTTTTATAAGGACCAAAGTTTACTGACCATAGGAATTATGACAAAATCATCTCTGTATTTCCCACCTTATTAGTACATTACTTAAATACTCATTACATACTGAAGGAAACTTATTATGATGGTTTCCTTTTTTTTTCAATTTACTTTTTTTTTTGAGACAGAGCCTTGCTCTGTTGCCCGGGCTAGAGTGCCGTGGCATCAGCCTAGCTCACAGCAACCTCAAACTCCTGGGCTCAAGCGATCCTCCTGCCTCAGCCTCCCGAGTAGCTGGGACTACAGGCATGTGTCACCACACCCAGCTAATTTTTTTTTTTCTATTTTTAGTTACCCAGCTCATTTCTTTCTATTTTTAGTAGAGACAGAGTCTTACTCTTGCTGAGGCTGGTCTCGAACTCCTGACCTCAAGCGATCCTCCCACCTCGGCCTCCCAGAGTGCTAGGATTACAGGCATGAGCCACCGCGCCCGGCCAATGGTTTCCTTTTTAATGAAACCATAAAATACACACTTGAGAAAGCATTCCCCCATACTTAGTGATGGGAGGTACATATAAACTTATTAATATTGGTTAAAAAAAATATTAGTTTAAAATTCAAGTTTAAAAGTTAATATCATTAAAAATCAAACCTGAAAAAGGAATATACAGATATCAAGGTACGTGGCATTGAACTCTGCTTCCGTGCCTAGGATCTTTCAGAAAAGCTTTTTAAATATCAACAAACTACATATGGGGTAAGGGATGATAACACAGAAAAGTTATACTCCGTAAACTTCAGAGCTAGATGTATTAATATTCAGAAATTTCTAGACAATCATAAATATTCTTATTTTAAAATTGAATATATCATTTTAATTTATTGTGTCCTAATAGAAGAACTGTCTCCCAGACACTTCTCATTTTTAGCAAAATCAATAGAATGAACAAATCAATAAATGGAACGTTTTCAACCTGAAACCCATTATTTGGGAAAAGGAGTTCCGCATGCATTCAGATTGCCCACCCCTGCGACCCCAACGCACACACAGCAGAGACCCACAGCCGGAACTGACCCTGCGTAGAAATCAGCACGAAATCAACGCCTTTTGTGTGGCCCTGAAAGCACTGACAGACCTATGGATACGCCTAGTGCGCCTGAGAAAAGTCTCACTCGCTCCCCCCCCCCACTACAGTGACAAGGAGAGGGATTCAGAGTTAGCAGCGACATTTTAGTAATCTTTGAAACACAATGTCCAAGAAACACAAGGCCGTCTCTAGAGCAGCGGAGACGTCACAGCCGTCACTCTGGAGATTTGAAGGGGTGGGGGAAGGGGCTTACAGTTATCTTTTCTATGTTCACGCCTTTAAGGCAGGAGTAGGGATGGAATCACTCTCAATACTCCTTCCATCTATGAAATTCTAAGTCCCTTGATAAAGCCGGCATCGAGGGAGCAATGGGGAGGAAAGATTTGCCGGGACTAGACCAGCACCGGGAAATGCTGTCGAGTTGCCCACGTGAGCTCTTCTCAGAATATAAAGCACTAACAATCAATGTAATAATAACACATAAACTTGGTCAAAGTCACGTTCAACAGGAAATATATACAGGCTTATTTGGATAACTAAATTGCTATGTCCTGCTTTGTATTAGCATCGAACATTTACTGAGCAATGACGAGATGCCGGGGGTTTGGCATTAAGAAGTGTTAGCGTGAGTTAGAAAGCTCGTGCCCTGAAGGTGCTTACAATTTTCCAGGCAAGTTCCAGCAGAACCAAAGTCTAGTCACTGCATCCAGTAACTACAGAGGATGGGACGTCAGCAAGCATCTAAGTTAGAGAGCTGAGGCTGGGAACATCTTCCAGCAGTCTATCGTTGCTAAGCACAGTGCGAAGGGTTACCAGATATTTGAACTCTGGCAACAATATCAGACCTTTTCTTGCTCAGAGGAATTTAACTATCTAAATTATTGAACACACTTCTTCAAAGAAGACAAGGTCTGAGGAAAAGGGCAAGTTGGAATATCCAGTATGGTTGGATTGTTAGGGATAGACACATAACCCGCATACTGTGCAACTATAGTTCTTTTAACACAGAAACAGTATGTCTTGGAAATCAGTTTATTACTAAACTAAAAATGTAAATTTGGACTTAGCTAAAATTTTCCCAAAGCAATTAACCTTGAGCCAACCAAAAAAAAGCGTAGTGGTAACCATGGCAAGAAACGAAAGTCAAGTCTGTAGTCCTACACGTCTTGTTCAATATGACCAGAAAGTACACCCAAGATTTGGGAACCAAGGGCAAACTCTACCAGGTTACCCCTTGCTGCTTAAGGAGTACGGGAGACCACAAAGAAATAGTTCCCATGTGGATTTTTTTTTTTTTACACAAAAGTAAGATTTAAAAGAAATATATTTATTTATTTATATTTTTTTTAGAATATGAAGCGGGGGAGTGAGGAGGGTTTCTGTTCAGTTCTGTTTCTGTTTTTGTTTCTGTTTTTTTTTTTGATTAAGACAGAGTCTCACTCTGTTGCCCTGGGTAGAGTGCCGTGGTATCGTCATAGTTCACAGCAACCTGCAACTCCTGGGCTCAGCCATCCTCCCGCCTCAGCCTCCCGGGTAGCTGGGGCTACAGGAGCGTGCCACAACGCCTGGCTAATTTTTCTATTTTTAGTAGAGACGGCATTTCCCTCTTGCTCAGGCTGGTCTCAAACTCCTGTCAAGTGATCCTCCTGACTCGGCCTCCCAGAGTGCTAGGATTACAGGCGTGAGCCACCGCGCCCAAAAGAAAGATGTTATACAAAGTAAAGAAAATTTAGGGAAAGAAATGCATGTGAAGAAAGGCTCAGAGAGAATGATTTAAGATGAAAGATTGTAGGAGTTAAACACAGACAGTTGGGCTACAGGCCAACTAAATATGGAACTGTTTTCTACAAATAATGTGGAAGGATAGCCCAAGGATGAAAAAGAATTTTGGGGTTAATATTGATTAGGTATGGTAGGAAACAAGGAATTGAGGAAAAAATAGGAATAAAATTAAAGGAAGGGGCCGGGCGCGGTGGCTCATGCCTGTAATCCTAGCACTCTGGGAGGCCGAGGCAGGCGGATCGTTTGAGCTCAGGAGCTCGAGACCAGCCTGAGCAAGAGCGAGACCCCGTCTCTACTAAAAAAAAAAAAAAAAATAGAAAGAAATTAGCTGAGCAACTAAACATATATATACAAAAAAAATTAGCCGGGCATGGTGGCGCATGCCAGTAGTCCCAGCTACTCGGGAGGCTGAGGCAGAAAGATTGCTTGAGCCCAGGAGTTTGAGGTTGCTGTGAGCTAGGCTGATGCCATGGCACTCTAGCCTGGGCAACAGAGTGAGACTCTGTCTCAAAAAAAAAAAAAAAAAAAAAAAATTAAAGGAAGGAAAATTTACCCTAAATGCCAGAATTTTCCCACAATCTATGTGATATAAATACCATGTGTAGAAGTTAATGTATAAAACTCACATACCTCAAATGATAAAAGCATGTATGCAGATAGACATTTAAGTTAAATAGGATGAAAGCTGTAACAAAATTATTCTAAGTCCAGAAACAAGAGCTGTGCTAACTCTCTGATAAAAGGGAAATCATTATATAAATCATTAACCACTAAGAAACCTCCTAACACCCTGCAATGCACATCAAATTTTATTGCAATTGTGTACAAAGAAAATTGCAGACAAGCTGATGTATTCTGATATCATTCACTTTAGCTAGTCTGTGCGCTCTGGGTACTCAA